GCAGCTGCCAAACTCTACTGCAACAATAACATTGCTTGTGTCGATTGTCCACGTTCACGATATGTATTAACGTATGGTAAAACTCGAGCATTGTTGATTAGTTATGTGATTGTGAGTCTCGATGCTACAAAGAGAAGTGAAACAAGTGTCTGAATACTGTTATAACTGCATGTAGTTCTAGTGTAGTGTAGTTCTATATTTGTACTTTCTTGGTGGTGCACCCTTTCCTGAACTATATCTTGTACCTCTTTCTCATATTGAACCATTCATTTCTCCTCTCTCTTGGCACAAACCACTCGACTTCTCCTTGGCCTAGGCTACTAAGCCTAGGCCGCCACTTAACTCTCAACTACCTCTTAAGCTCGTTATTCAACAACAAGGTGCTGGCGGCGATAAATATGCTTGGTCGATTGAAATAAAATTCTCGACCGCTTTGCTCTGTCTGTCGAAATCTTTCGTTTTGACAAATAGGGAAAATGCACAGTGCGACAATTTCCGTGTCGAATGCAGATGCTGACTTGCCAAAATCTAGAAACGGCTTCTGCTGTCGATAATCAATTTCATCGAACAACTTCTCGGAAATTTTGTTTTCCCGACTGTGAAATCGGAACCTTATCGAATGAGCTCCCTGTTCGACAGGAAGTATTGCAGTACTGTTTCAACAAGAATGTGAAAGTGTAGGAGCAAAGTTTTTCAATGTGCTTTGTCGAGACGTTTAGCGGAATCCCTAAGTACTGTCGAACAACCTGGGAGCACATCTTGTCGAACATCACATTTGAGCTTTCGTCGAAGAAAAAACATTTGCCGCGAAATGAAAAGTTGTCGAAGGCGATACACCCTTTTAATGCCAACTAAGGCTCTGTCGAAGACAGGAAATTGCAGAACTGAAGTATTAACGCCCTTCCTTCGAGAATAAACACATTTTCGACAGAAATACCCCTTCCTTCGAGAACAAAATGTATGCACATTTTCGACGGAAATACCCTTCCGTCGAACATTCTTATATTATTTTTAGGTCCTTCACTTGGCTGATATTTTGAGTTACGAAACACTTTCTTTTTAATTCTACAATGGTATATCGAGCTGTCTCCCGTCGAGTTCCTTCAATTTCTACTGTTACGGCTGACATATATATTGTCATAAGAATACGACATCGAACCCGCGGGTTTCGGAGGGGTTTTTGGCCTCGTCAGCCGGGAATTTCTGGGGGCCCGGAGGGATTCCGCGGGTTTTTTGTTTTGCCTCGATTCCCTTTGTGCCAGGGCGGGCGGGGCGGCATGTGATGACGTCACCCGTGTGTATATAATTGGGGTGGGATTCCTGGTTCGACTGATCGGCTCAGCGGATTGAACGGAGACAGCCGGCCCCGAGTAATCATTCCATCTTTTGTCGAGAATGGTCTGGTTACGTCACGTTCGTTGCGTTTTACTGGCCCCCAGACCAGAGATCGTGCGGCTCCACCCACCAGAACGACTTGTATTCCTTTTCAACCAGATTGTACATCTTAGACGCATGTCGCGCCGTCAATCAAACCCGACGGTCCGTTATCTGGGTTGCATACGGCTCGGGTGGGATGGGTACAGCACATAAGAACCAGCCAGTTTTGGAGGGTTCACCTCGTCCCGATTGGCCTTGACACTTATTTGACTTCTGCCCGCAGTTAGTTGACAGCTAAACGTCGGTCATCGTCGCTATGTCGGTTCCAAACGTTTGTGATCGAGCTAGCCGACTAATTACCTGACGTTTGCGCGCTGGAAAAGGGCATTTCACCACACTGCAAGGGTTGAAAGTGTTGTGCTGGACAGAGGTGTTGCTGCTGGCAAACCATCGCCGTCCTCAGCTTCTGTTGTGTTGCGTGCACCGGAACAGTAGTGCACCACGTGACCACCAGCCACTGACCTCGAAAGTAGTGGTATGTACGTGTCCGCCACTCGCTTGTAACGCAGGCCCTCATTGTTGTCTCACCCGTTGAAAGTTCGGAAGGCAATCATTGCTGGGGGCCCATTCCCAAAGACTAACCGATTCCAGTTTGTGTATAACAACTAGTCAAAGAATATCTGACAACGAGTACACAGGGATGGTCCATTTTTTGCTGGATTTGAACATAGAATGTACGCATGCTTGACATTCGGGCAGCGTGTACTTGTGAGAGGAGAAATTCAGGGGAATTTCATCTGCCGGAGCTGCCGATTCCGGTTAAGTTGGCGGCCTGCGCAGGCTAGGCTGTAATTATGTCGTCGGCCTGGGAAATCGGGTCTGTTGTTTTGACAAAGAAAAAATGAAACAGTTTGAGCCTGACAGGCACTAACACCACCGCCTGACGCCGGCAGAACAAACAGAACCGGTTATCGAGACATTGATGAGCCTGTTTCTCCTGCCCGACTGCGTGGAATGGGGCACCTTGCTTGTACTACACTAGATCCGTTTGATGTATCCAGCTTGTAGATGGATTTTTGCAAGGAGTAGTTCATGGTCTTAGACTTGGCACACAACAAAAAAATTTACCACCACGCATCGCATGTTCCCTTCGTAGTGTCAGTAAGTCCAAAACAGTATGACCAGCAATATTCGGCGTGTGTACGTCCACCAACTTGCCGCCGATGGTTTGTTGGCTCATGCATCCGAGCCGCGACGGCGCTTAACTCCGAACAGTCCCGGTAGTAGTAGTTTAGTGCTTCCCTCAGTTCCCGATGATGGAACGTTTTCGCGCTGCGTTTCCAGGAGAAACTCAAGGTATTATTCCTCGGAGGAACTTCCTCCAAAAGGAAATCGTCTCATACAAAACCTGTTCAACAGGCCCTTGGAGAAAATAATATGGACACAAGTGTCGCCTTTACTAGAACTACTAGTAGTTCCACTGGCAATAAAACCAAACGAGGCAAGATGAGGAACCCTGAGCTTGCAGAAACTGGAGTTAAGGTTCCCAATACCACCAATGCCACTGCCGCCACTGTAAGTGGCAGTACACATGACATTTTAGGTGATGGCTTCCCGCCAGGAATTAGATTCCGGCCGACGGACGAGGAGCTGCTGTGTTACTACCTCAGGCGGCGCGTGGAGGGCCTTCCCATCGCATGGAATGCGATCAGCGACGTGGATCTGTACAAGTCCGAGCCTTGGGAACTGCCAGGTGCATAAGCATCATCCTAAATGTAACTCACAAACACCAGTGTTCGTATTCGGGGAAAAGTCGTTTACCTCTATCTGTGAAAACTTTTGAGGAATTTCACACCATGGAAGTGTCTCTCTCTCTCTCTCTTCCCCCCCCCCTCTCTCTCCCTCTCTCTCTCTCTCTCTCCCCCCCCTCTCTCTCTCTCCCTCTCTCTCTCTCCCTCTCTCTCTCTCTCTCCCTCTCTCTCTCTCTCCCTCTCTCTCTCTCCCCCCTCTCTCTCTTTCACTCTCTCTCTCTCTCCCTCACTCTCTCTCTCTCTCTCTCTCTCTCTCTCTCTCTCTCTCTCTCTCTCTCTCTCTCTCTCTCTCTCTTCGTCTTCTTCTTCTTCCTCCTCCTCCTACCTTCAGAGACATGACTTACCCCTCTTCTCTTCTCATCCCCCCCTCTCCGCCACTCCCAGCCAGAGCGACATGCCCAATCTCCTGCGACGGCGAGTGGTTCTTCTTCGCAGCCCGCGACCTCAAATACCCATCGGGTTCAAGGTCCAACCGAGCTACAACTGCTGGGTACTGGAAGGCCACTGGGAAGGACAGGCCTGTGCACGTGCGGTTCGCAGGCAACGAAGGCACAGAGGACCAGACAGTCAGAGTGGGATTCAAAAAAACTCATGCCTTCTATATGTGAGTTCAGATCTGCAATTGTTTCTCCCTCTTGGGCTGGGCGTGTTCTGCTCTTTAGATTGTTCCGGGCCTGGCTGTTCAGGTCTTCATATTGAATATTTGGTTTGGGGTTGCGTGTTCAGGCCTAGGACAGTTTTCCTCTGGCTCCTGTTCCTTGTTTGTACTCTCAGATTTGTTGCTCATTTTCTTTGCTCAGTTTTCTGTTGCCTGGACGAGACATTTGATTGATTTTTTATGTTTTTCCTTTTGGTTTTTTAAGTGCTTGTTCGTTTGTTTGTTTCTAGTGTGTGTGTGTGTGTGGGGAGGGGGGGGGGGAGGGGTGTGTATGTGTGTGTGTGTGTGTGTGTGTTTTTCCTTCATTTGGATTCGGTTCACTTGTTCAGCTTGCATGCTTGGGTTTATGAATAGTTTGTTTTCCAGATTGTTCAGTAGGATTCTCAGCTTTTTTGTTCTGGATTTTGGTTTGGGTAATTTCATATGGTAGTTTGGATTTTGGTTTTGGGGGTTTATTATCGTTTTCCGGCGCTTTGATTTTTTGTCCAGTTCTTGAGGTAGCTTGTTCGGGCTCGAATTGTGTGAAAGGGTTTTCAAGTTTTGTTTTCATCTGTTCATAGCCTTCTGCAACTTCTATGGGTTTCCAACCTTTTTTTAAATTATTTGTTCAGATTGCTATTTTGGGATCTTGGTTTTCTGTTTAGGATTGTGTTTTCCGGAACTTTTAATTGCTGTTTAGGCTTTAAGGTTGTCTTTTTTGGGTTGCTTTTCTTTAGATTACCAGGTTGTTGTTTCTGCTCTTCCGAGTGTTGGTTTGGCCTCCAGCTTGGTTGTTTGGGCCCTTGGATTGTCGTCCCAGTTTTGGGTGTTGTGTGTGTGTGTGTGAGAGAGAGAGAGAGAGAGAGAAAGAGAGAGAGAGAGAGAGAGAGAGAGAGAGAGAGAGAGAGAGAGAGAGAGAGAGAGAGAGAGAGAGAGAGAGTGCTTGTGCTTGTGCTTGTGTATAGTTATGGCTTCTGAGGTTATCTGGTCAGGTTTTTTATATGTTTCTTTAATCTGGCGGGATTATGTTTTTTTCCACCTTCTTTTCCATACTTTAAGTCTTCAGTGTTTGGCATGGTAAGATACACCGTTTACTTGATAAGCCTTAGTTCCTTTGTCATTCTTCTGTGGACATCAGGGGGCGAGCACCAGGAGGCAACAAGACTGACTGGGTCATGCACGAGTACCGGCTGACAGAGGATTTGTCTGTAGCTGGACTGGCTGGTACAGACGTGGCACATGCTACAGCTGCAGAAAGGGATGCAGCAGGTGGCGCTGTCAACAGCAGCAGAGACGATGAGGCGACCAACCCAGACACCAGAGGTCTGGGAGCTAAGGGTGCCTCAGGTGGTGCTGCTGGTGGTGTTTTAGCCAGCAGCAGCAACAGCAGCCCCAAGGACAGCACTTCAGAACGTCAAACTGGCACTGCTCAAAAGATCAACCTGGCGTCGTGGGTGGTCGTGAGAGTGCTCAAGCGAAGCTCCCTGACGGCTGAGGAGCAAGCGACAGTGACGCAACAGGTGATGGCAGCTCAACATGCAATGGTAGCACAGCAGAGGATGGCAGAACAGCAGCAACTGGGTGGGCCTCCTCTACAAGGTGTGAAACCGCCGCTCTTAGTGTATCCGCAAGGGAGCGGAGCAGAGCAGCAGGCAGTTGTCACAGGTGGTATGGGAGGAAGCAACGTGGCAGTGGCTCATGTGACTGCACACAGGATGGGAAGTTTGGCACCAGCAACAGGGTACCCTACGGGTGTGACACTAACCGTCAGGAGTAATTCACCCTCGACAGATTCCCAGGGGGATAACTCCCCAACTACCCTCACAGCCAGCCAATCACCCAACTCTTCCTTCTCCGCAATGCCTGTAGATGGGCGGAGCAATGACACAGCAAGCCAAGCATCAGGTTTGGATACTGGAGCAGCAGTGGGAGCAGCAGTAGCAGCAATGGCGTCTTTAGCAATGGATGTAGCAGGAGCAGGAGCGGCAGTGGGAGCAGCAGAAAGAGCTGGTAACCCCTCTGCCCATCCAGGTCCCGCCTCCCCTCTCCTGAATCCGCCCAGCCCGCACACTGGACTCTTTTCTTCTCCTTTTATCCAGCCTGGTGCTGGCAGCAGCAGGCCAACAACGCCGCAAGGGTTATTGACCCATCCACTACTGGAGCAACTGTTGTTGCTACAGCAGCATGGCAGCAGGGCAACAGTGCAGCAGGGGCTATTGTCCCAGCAGCAACAAAGCAGCAATACAGCCATGCAGCAGGGCTCATTGCTCCAGCAGGAGCACCAACAGAACATCCCGTCAGTACAGCACGAGTTAGAGCAAGTGCTCTATCCCGACCCATCATTCAGGCAGCTTTTGTTGCAAGTAGAGTCCTCAGAGCCACCTTGCAGCAGGGACGGAGACCCTCTTATTCAGGTCCAAGCAGAGGCAGAGCCTTTTGGGCTATGGGAGGTGATGCAGCAGGGGATGCGCACTGGGGAGGATCAGATGGTAGTTCCAGAAGGAATGACAGTACCAGAAAGAATGACAATACCACCTACACCAGGTGCCACCGTGCTGACACCAGCCAATCCCTTCCTTCCGCTCCCCCCCACCCACAACCACATTCAGCTTCTCTCTCTGCCACTCACGAGAGCACCACCAAACCAGCAAGCTGGTTTCATGGTTACCTCTCAGCAACAGCAAGGCCACAGTACACCACAGCAGAGCAGTTATCAGCAGGCGATCGCAGCCCCTTTGTCCTCCTGGTCTGCTCCTCCTCCACACCCCTTCCGTCCTGCCCCTTCTGCTTCCATGTCTGCATCCTCATCTGGTGAATCTCACCCCCGTACAACGGCTAGTGTTGCTGCTGCTGCTGGTGCTAGTACTAACCCAGTTGGTACTGCTGATTCAGCTGAGACAGGGGATACAGCAGCAGGCCAAAAGAACCAACAGGAGGAGATGCAGCGGCTGGCAAATCTTCTCCAATCCATTTTAGGAATTCCAGTAGCCAGTACCACTGCTGCCTCTACCGAACCGGCCACTACAACTCGCACCAGTGCAAATCCTGTTGCTTCTTCGACTGAGGCTGCTACGGCTCCTGCCCCTGCCTTTGCTTCAAGTTCTGGTGTGGTTCCCATAGCCTCTGCCATTCAAAGAATGGCTGCAGCTCTCAATATGGCTTCAAATGGGCTCTTGAATAGCACAGCAGCGCGATCGGTTGCAGCACCCCCAAATTCTGCTGTAGCATCCCAATATTCGGTGGCAGGAGCCCAGCAGGGGAAAAGACACAAGGGGCAGCACATAGTGAATGTTGGGTACCCAGAACAGCAGCAGCAGCAGCAGCATGACCAATATTCCCTGCATGAAATGCTTCAGCAGCACATGTCTCAGCAGCAGGAACTCAGTCCCGCCCCCCCGCGTCCCAGAAGCGCTTCCTGCCCAGCTGTCCCTCTGCAAGGTGCCAATCAGTATGTAACGCCCTTTCGCTCCACCCACAGCTACAACCATCCTGGGTCATTGCAAGGGGCAATGGGTGGGCAGGGTGAGCAAGGGAGGACAGAGATAGAAACCCAGAGTGATTCGCTACTCCATACCAGCGCGTGGGGGAGAGGTGGAACAGAGATGGCTGGAAGGGGGAAGGAGGGAGAGGGGAGGGTTGGAGGGGACAGTGGGGATGGTGGCTTGGAAGCGATTATCCGCCATGTCAGCTGGTATGGAGGAGCAGGAGGCTCTGGAATGGATCACAGAGACGCGAACTTGCCAGGATGGGTGGGAGTTGCAACAGCAGGGGTAGCAGGAGCCGGTGCAGGGGTGGCGGAAGTTGCTGTGGGTGCTGCAGCAGCAGGAGGGGTGGAGAGAGCAGGAGTGGAGACAGCAGGGATGGGAGATGCAGCAGAAGGGGTTGGAGATGCAGCATCAGGGGTTGGAGATGCAGCATCAGGGGCAGCCGCGGCAGCTGGGAAATCGGCGGCAGCAAGAGGAGGCGGGGACCTGATGGCTCCGGTGGATGGGTTGGGGATATCAGACTTAGAAGCGCTTCTAATGGATGCGGAGGGAGAACTGGGCACGTTCAGCAGCATGGTCAGTGGGCTCAGCCCGCATCCATTTAGCAGCATGGTTGGCAGCGCTCAGTCACTGCCCAAATCATTCTTTCCATCACCAGCGGTACCTCTGACAGTGGGTCAAACATGGAGAGATGGAGCAGCAGAATCAGGAGAAGCATCTACAGCAGCAGCATCTGCAGGCTCAACCGCAGCAGCAACAGCAGAAGCAGGAGAAGTAGGTGCATCTGCAGGTGCAGAAGCAACCACTACAAGCATGATTGCCAGTGTTTCAGGGGAAACACAAAGAGGGAATCGCGGCAGCCAGGGCACTGGAAGGATGCAATCTCCCAAAAGAAGCCGTGAAGAGGACTTCTGATTTTGCATTTTAAGCAGCTGGTTCATGGGCAGATGTCTTTCCCTGAAGCTGTTTTGTGCATATGATGGTGACACCTGGCTCAGGGTCAATGGATAGCGTCGACATGAAATGGTAGGAATAATGCCCTTCCTATTCCCCGAAAAAAACATTATAATTTTTAAACACATTGATGTTTTTCAAAATTGTGTATTGTGAAAGCGAAGCTGACTGTACCGAATATTTGGCAGCGTCGAAGCGCGCTAAACGCCCTTCTCCAACTACAAAAACCGTGGGTTGGAGTTCATTCCCTCCACCCACGTTTCTCGTTTTCCAACGGCTCAATCAACATCCCCACCACCCACCCCGGACCAACTACAAGACCACAGCTGCTTGGACGGACGACTCCATAGCTAGTAATATTTGCATGTACTAGCATGTGTTTACGAACGATGCATATGTTGTAATAAGCCAGTTGCAATGAGAACGATGCCAAATTATAAGGACAAGAAAGCAAGCTTTCTCAATTCGTTATTCTTTGAGAAGTTGGATAGAAGCCATAGGAGTACATGCAAAAAATGTGTTGTAGATTTCCCCCCTCCCACAATCTCGCTGTCGCTCGCCACGCAAGCGAATCTTCCGCTGCAAGTGGCCCAAGAGGTGAAAATCACCTTCTCACATGAGGCATAGACACGTGACCAAACCAGTCAAGAACTGACTGGTACAGTAACAACGCACCACCGTGCGTGATTCTGGCCTCGGCGGTTGCATGAACCCTCGCTACGCAATTGGCTTTGTTTTCACCCTATCAAGTGCCAGAATTGCCCACTGGAATTTGCCACGTGGCAGATTCCAGTGGGCAGTCACGTTATCCTCGTATACTCAGTTTTGCGGCACTGATCAACAATCTTGAAGTGAAGTCAGACCCCCTGATTTTGTTTCACATCTTTTCTGCTTGATAAAAAATATACCATATAATAAGACCCGGGTATTATGCAGGATTTTCCTTTGAGGAGACCCCCCCCCATTTTTTCCCAGTGGTTTTCATAATACCCTAGGGTGTTTTATCCGGGAGAATACGGTACACTATCTTCACATGTCAGCTCTACTTATTTCTCATGGGCTAGAGTTGTCACCACCACTCTATGTACACTAACAGCCCCAAGAGATACAAACGCTCCTAAAATATTTGCTCTTGGCAAGCATCAGCTGTCCTCTTCACGACTCCTTTTGGGAGAGAGCTTCCTTCCAGTGCCCTTACTGCTGCTCAATCCCAGATTCCCCATTTGTGAATCCCCAGATACATCAACAATCCTGCCTGCAGTTGCAGCCCTTGCCTCTCCTGCTGCTGATACCACTGATTTATCTCCTGCTTCTGCTGCTCCATCTGCCCGTGTCCGATCCAGTGACACACTTCCCAGAGCCGGGAGAATTGTTGTTGGCAGCAACAGAGCACCTTGCCTCTTAGAACACATGCGGTCGCTGCTACCAGTGGCACTGGCAGTGTGACAAGCAGCCATGACCGCAGCAAACCCCTCCTCTGATGCAAACGAGCCTTCAGACCCACCATGCATGGGGGTAAATAAAGATGATCCCAGTGCCACGGATGGTGCCAGTCCCTCAGGCGGCTGGCTGATGGCCATGCCACTGCTAATGGGCTCAATGGTGCAGACAGTGCTGCTACTAGGAGGCTGGCTGTGAGGCTGGCTGAACTCGCTGACCATGCTGCTGCTGATAAATTCCAACTCTCCCTCCACATTCAGTAGAAGCGCCTCTATATCTGCTAGCTCCAACCCATCTAGCGATGTCAGCAGGTCCCCTCCTCCAATCGCTGCTGCAGTTACCCCTGCCACTGAAACCCCACCCCCTACTGCCATAACCCCTGCACCAGTTAATTCTTCCCCAGTTGATTTTTCCCCACTTAATTCTTCCCCAGTCTATTCTTCCCCACTTAATTCTTCCCCAGTTGATTCTTCCCAAGTTAATTCTTCCCCAGTTGATTCTTCCCCAGTTAATTCTTCCCCAGTTAAAACTTCCTCAGTTGATTGTTCCCTGGTTAATCCAGCTCTCACAGAAGCTGCTGCCACCCTTGCTGCTGCCACCCCTGCTGCTGCCACTCCTGCTGTTGCAACTCCCACCCGTCCCGGCAAGACAGCTTCTCTGTGCACCATCCCAGAGCTCCGTGCTCCTCCATACGTGCTGGTGAGCCGAAAAATCGCCTCCAAACCACCGACCCCACCATTTTCTCCCCCTCCTTTCCTCTCTCCATCCATCCTTCCTCCAGAAACCTCTGCCACACCTCTGTCCCACACACTGGAATGCAGCAGACTGTCACCCGAGCTACTCACGTCTAACCTCCCTTGCTCGCCGTGTCCCTCGAACGCCCCTTGCAACAACTGGGTGTAGGAGGCATGAGAGGGCGTTTCATACTGGTTGGCGCCTTGAAGGGGAGCCTGAAGTGGTAGAGAGACGGTGTGACAGATTCCTTGCCGCTGAGGCAGGTGCTGCTGAAGCATCTGATGCTGCTGGTACTGGCCATGCTGCTGCTGCTGCTGTTGGTGGCCTAATGTTACTGCGTGCTGTGCCTTGTGCCTTTTCCCCTGCTGGACTGATGTCGAGGGTGGTGCAGCGAAGTATGAGGGTACTGAAACATTGCCTCCAAAGGGTCGGAAACAGCCTGCAACTGGAATAGCAGCAGCAGCATCAGGAGGAGGAGTTGGAGGGGCAGGAGCTGTATCAGAACTGCTGTAAGCAGCAAGTGGAGAAGCAGTGGGAAAGGCTGTGATTGCAGCAAGTGCACTGGTGTCGATCTGATTCCCTAGAAGAGATTTGAGGAGATCAGCCAGTTGCTGCATATCTTGATAACCGATTGCTTCACCTGCTGCTCTGTCACATAGCCCAGCTGACCCAGCTGCACCAACTGGGATAATACTACTATGAGCAGCAGCAAAGGCCACGGCAGGAGTAGCAGTAGCGGCAGCACCAGCGACAGCAGCAGCAGCAGTGGCCGTATCAGCAGCTGCAGCAGCATGATTAGCAGCAGTGAACGCCGGAAGGATGGCTGGGGTGTGCATTTTACTAGGCTGAGGGGCACCTGACCAGGATGCAGAGATTGAAGGAGAAGAGGAAGGATGGAGCGGGTGCAGAGGAGCAGATGAAGGGGAAGAAGGGCCTGCAATCACCTGCTGGTAACTGCTTTGTTGATGTGAACCGTGGCTTTGCTGAGATGTAACCGTGTAACCAGCTCGGTGAATCTGTGATTCTGTGAGAGGCAGAGAGGGAAGCTGGAAGTGGGTGTTGTTGAGATTGCGAGTTTGGGTGTGGGTGCGGGTGTGGGTGAGGGGGAGGGGGAGGTGAAGCAGGGAAGTGGCTGTTTTTGGAGCGGTGGCAACTGGTGAAGGCAATACCGTCAGTTGCTCCTGCTGCTTGCAACAGACTGCTTGTGATGACCCTTGTTGGCCTGCTGGGGTGCTGCTTTGCTGCTGCTGGAACAAAGACCCTTGCTGCACTGCTGCGCTACTGCTTTGCTGTTTTTGGAAAGACAACCCCTGCTGCACTGCAGCTGCTATCAATGCTGCTCCTGCTGTTGCTCCCAGTTCTGCCCCTGCTCCCGCTACATCCATTACTGCATGCGCCATTGCTCCAACTGGTGCCCCCACTTCTGCTCCTACCGGAACTATTGGGGCTTCTTCCTCCTCCACTGGCTCCTGCGTTGACTCATTTCCTGAACTGCTTGCTCTACCTGCGCTCCCACTAGCTCTACCTGCGCTCCCATAAGCTCCAACTTCATCACCAGCACCAGTTGTGCTCCTCACTCCGCCTTCACTACCAGTAGCACCAAATGTGCTTCTCCTAGCCCCACCAGCATAGCCTGGTTTATGCTCTTCTTTGCTCCCTTGCTGCTGCGTCGAGAGCCACGGATTCACAGCCTGGAAAGCAACCATCCCACCCTGCTGCTGCATTATCATTGCTTGATGCGCATGCATTGCTTGTTGCGCTACCGTCGTTTGCTGTGCCACCATCCGCTGCAGTGGCATCATCGCTTGCTCCTCAGCTGTCAGGGAGCTTCGCTTGAGAACCCGCACAACCACCCACGATGCCATGTTAATTTTTTGCGCACCGCCAGTTTGTCGCTCCGGACTGCTGGTTTTGGGGCTGCTGCTGCTGTTGTTGCAAATGGCTAGCCCACCATCAGCAGAGCCACCTGCACCACCCTCAGCACCCGAACCACCTACATTAGCAGCAGCACCACCTGCACCACCCCCAGCTCCTGGACCTTGGGTGTCTGGGTTGGACGTTTCATCTTCTCTGCTGCTGTTCCAGCCAGTGAAAGTACTGCCTCGGATACCACCTACTGTATTTACACGTTCTGCGATGCTTTCATGGGCAGAAGCTGGGCCTGCAGCTAATCCTGGGTTTAATTCGACTTCTGCGACTGTAGCATGTGCCTCGTCAGTAGCAGCAGGTACAGCTACAGGCGAGTCCTCTGTCAGCCGGTACTCGTGCATGACCCAGTCTGTCTTGTCGCCTCCTGGCGCTCGCCCCCTGTTGCCACAACACAGAAGAATTTAAAGAAGAAAAATAATTTAAATGGAAGGCATTTTCAACAAGCATTTCCTCATTCCACACGCGCGTGCGCGCAAACGCGCGCGCGCGAACACACACACACACCCACACACACACACACACACACACGCACGCACGCACGCGCGCGCGCGCGCGCGCACACACACACACACACACACACCCACGCACACCCACACGCACGCACGCACGCACGCGCGCGCGCGCGCGCGCGCACACACACACATGCACGTATGCACACACACGCAAGCTCATACACACTCACACACACACGCACGCGCATACACACACACACACACACACACACACACACACACACACACACACACACACACACACAAACAAACTGAAGAACAGCCCAACCGAACCGTATAGAACACGCTCACAAAATCTAAATTTGAATATAACCAATCCAAGTTTTGAACAAACAAGCCTAAAAGAAGAAAATGAAGCTCAGGCAAGACACGCGATGGAACAGCAACTTCATATGGCCAAATAATCCAAAGACCTGAACAAGATACTCACATATAGAAGACATGAGTCTTTT